GCTCATTTCTCTCTTCCTCCATCCAGAGTACTGAATTGTGAACTGCGTGACTGGGAGGCAGGAAGAGGCTGGGAAAGTGGCAGATCAGAATCTGGAAGGGCATTAAAGGAACATGGATCCTACAAAATGTGTTGCAGGACTCCATCAAGAAGCCCACCTATGAGTCACTGGGAATCCTCCAACTGGCCATGGGGCATGCCCAATGCTCCATGGGATTTACTCGCACACACCCCCACCCTATGCCCAGCTCCCTGTTCACACTCCCAATAGTGGCCACAAGAGCGAGTTTGGCAGATGGCTAGTGAGCACATGCAGAAAGCCTGTGCTGGCCCAAATCTGTGGGCCAGAGAGAGACTACAAATTTGAGCTTTAGTGCCACCTTTGGGAGAAAATAGAGGCTGTCAGCACTTGGCCTAGTGTTTTGCAGGATGAGAAGAAGGCATACAAGCTTAAGAATTCTGCCACAAGAGGGAGCAAGATACATCAAGCAGGTGCATCCATAGAAGGTCTGAGAAAGCTTCAGAATCCCTAGCAGGGTTGAAGGAAGGTATTTTTCTCCCAAAGGCAGTTAATAAAGACTGGAAGAGGTGACTGCTACTTCAAATATGAAGACAGAAATGCAAAACTTCAAGGAACATGAAAAACCAAGGAAACACGACATCACAAGAGAACCACGATAATCTTTTAGTAGCCAATTCCAAAGATAAGGAGATCTACAATTTACCCGATGATAAAATAGTTGTTTTAACGAAATTCAACAAGCTACAAGAAAACACAGAAAGACAAGTCAATGAAATCAGGAAAACTACACTACACAAACAAAATGAGAAGTTTAACAAAGAGACAGAAATCATTAAAAAAAAGGACAAAACAAATTCTACGGCTGAAGAATACAATAAATGAAATGAAAAATGCAATACAGAGCATCAACATCAGAATGGATCAAGCAGAAGAAAGAATATGTGAGATAGAAGACAGGAACTTTGAAATTGTCCAGCCAGAGGAGAAGAAAGAAAAAAGAATTAGAAAGAGTGAAGAATGCCTACATGATCTATGGTATACCATCAAAAGAAATAATTTGTGAATTATTGGAGTTCCAGAAGTTTAAGAGAGAAGGGAGCAGAAACCTTATTTAAAGAAATAATGGCTGAGAACTTCCCAAATCTGGGCAGTGATATGGATATCAAAGTTTATGAAGCTCATGGATCACCATGCAAACTCAACTTAAAGAGATCTTCTTCAAGATTCGTTATAATAAAACTGTCAAAAATCAAAGACAAAGAGACTATCTTAAAAGCAGAAAGAGAAAAGAAACTTGTAACTTACAAGGGAACCTTCATAAGGCTATCAGCAGATTTCTCAGCAGGCATCTTACAGGCCAGGAGAGAGTGGGATGATATATTCAAAGTCCTGAAAGAAAAAAACTGCCAACCAAGAATATTCCATTCAGCAAAGTTCTCCTGCAGAAATGAAGGCAAGAAAAAGCCTCCCTTGAGGCAGGCCCATGGCCGAGTGGTTAAGTTCATGCACTCTGCTTTGGCAGCCCAGGGTTTTACCAGTTCAGATCCTGAGCACAGACATGGCACCGCTCATCAGCCATGCTGAGGGGGTGTCCCACATAGCAGAACTAGAAGGACCTATAAGTAGAATATACAACTATATTCTGGGGAGCTTTGGGGAGAAGAAGAAGAAAAAATAAAAGAAGATTGGCAACAGATGTTAGCTCAGGTGCAAATCTTTAAAAAAAGAAGAAAAAAGAAAAAGCCTTTCTCAAACAAACAAAAGGTAAGGGAGTTCATTATCAATAGACTTGCCTTACAAGAAACGCAGAAAGGAGTTCTTCAAGCTAACATGAAGGGACACTAATTAGTAACATAAAAACATATGAAAATATATAAGACACTGGTAAAGGTAAGTATATAGTCAAATTCAGAATACTCTAATACTGTAACATGGTGGTATGTTACACTTAACTGTAGTAAAAAGGTTAAAGGAAAGAATATTAAAAATAACTATAGTTACAACAATTTGTTAATGAATACACAATATAAAAAGAAGAAATCACGACATCAAAAACAAAAAAGGAGGGAATAAAAAGGACTTTCTTTTATATGCGACAGAAGTTAGTTGTTTGTAAGCCTCATGGTAACCATAAAACCAAACGTACAGTAGACTCACAAAAGATAAAGAGAAGGAATCAAAGCATACTACTACAGAAAATCATCAATTCACAATGGAAGACAGCAACAGAGGGAGAAAGGAACAAGGGAACTACAAAACAGCCAGAAAACAATAAGATGGTATTAGTAAGCCCTTATCTATCAATAATTACTCTAAATGTAAATAGATGGAATTCTCCAATCAAAAGATATAGTGTAGATAAAAAAACAAGACCCAACTATATGTTGCCTACAAAACTTCAGCTTTAAGAACACAAAAAGCCTCAAAGTGAAGGAATGAAAAAGATATTCCATGCAAGTAGACACCAAAAGAGAATACAGGTGGGAATGTAAATTGGTACAGCCACTATGGAAAACAGTATGGAGGTTCTTCAAAATTTAAAAAAGAACTGCCATATGATCCAGCAATCCCATTTCTAGGTATATATCCAAAGGAATTGAAATCAGTATCTCAAAAAGATATCTGTACTCCCATGTTCGTTGCAGCATTATTCACAACAGCCAAGACATGGAAGCAACCTAAATGTCCATCAATGGACAATGAATAAAGAAAATGTATATACAGGCAATGGAATATTATTCAGCCCTAAAAAATAAAGAAATCCTGCTATCTGAAACATCATGGATAAACATGGAGGACATTATGGTAAGGGAAATAAGCCAGACACAGAAAAGGACAACACTAGATGACACCACTTATTTGAGAACCAAGAGAAATGAGAATATATTTCCACACAAAGACTTATTCAAGAATGTAGTTTTACTCAAAATAGCCAAAAAATGGAAATAGCTCAGGTGTCCATTAATAGGAGAATTGATAAACCAAACTGTGGCATATTCACTCAATGAAATACTACTCAGCAATAAAAAGGAACAGATTACTGACACAAGCAACAATATAAATGAATCTCAAAAACATAATACTAAGTGAAAGAAGCTTTACACAAAAATACATGCTTGAGGACACTATTTACATAAAATTATAGAATAGGCAACACTATTGCATAAGAAATTTAGAATAGTGGTTACCTCTGTATGAGTGGAGCAGGTAGTGACTTGGAAAAAACATGAGGAAGCTCCCTGGGGTGATGGTAATGTTCTATATCTTGATAGGAGTTTGGGTTCCATAAGTATATGCATTTGTTAAAAATTCAGCAAATATACACTTAAGATTTGTGTATTCATTGTATATAAAATTTACATCATAAGAAAAACTTGTAAAAATACTCTAGTTAATGATATGCATGTTAAAAATATTTGGGGTACAAGTACAGATGTCTACAATTTACTTGAAAATATGTTAAAAATAAGATGGACTGATGGATAGAGGGACAGATATGTGATAAAACACGTATAGTAAAATGTTAATGGTAGAACCAAAGTGATGGCTATAAAAGTATTTACTCTGATTCTTTCAAATTTCCCATATGTTTGAAAATGTTCATAATAAAATATTGGGGCAAAAGGGGGGGATAATAAAAGAGAAATCAAAGAAGGATGAGACAGCAGAGAATGCTAAAGAAGAAGCACCAGTGAAGTAGAAGGAAAACGAGCAGTCTGATACACCAAAAGCCAGTGAGAAAAGTGATTTCAGAGGAGGGAATGGTCAATTGTGTAGAATTTTTCTGAAAATTCAAGTAATATCAAAACAGGCCCAGGGGATGTGGCTGTGAAAGAAGTGTGAGTGGAAGAAAATGAAGCCACAATGAAGCAGAGGGAGAGAAAACTTGGTGAGAAAATAGAGACAATAAACGAAAACAACTCCTAAGAAACTTGGCTGTGAAGGAGACCAGAGAGATGGGGCAGCAGCTGAACGAGGGTGTGGGGTCAAGACAATGGACAATACCAGAGCAGATTTGTGTGTAGATGAGAACGATCTAGCAGAGAATCAGAAGATGTAGTGGGTAGAATTGTGTCCCCTGAGAAGATACGTTTAAGTTCGAACCCCCAGTACCTATAAATGTGACCTTAGATGGAAATAAGATCTTTGAAGATATAATTTAGTTAAAATGAAGCTATGCTAGATTAGGGTGGGCCTTAATCCAATGACTGGTGTCCTTATAACAAGAGGAATTTAGACAAGAGACAGAATGCCATGTGACAGTGGAGGCAGAAACTGGAGTAATGCATCTACAAGCCAAGGAATGCCAAGGATTGCCAGCAACTACTAGAAACTGGGAAGAAGAAAGAAAGGCTTTTCCCCTACAGCTCTCAGAAAAAGAGCATGGCTCTGTTGACACCTTAATTTCAGACTTCTAGCCTCCAGAGCTGTGAGAATAGATTTCTGTTATTTTAAGCCACCAAGTTTATAGTACTTTGTTATGGCAGCCCTGGGAAACTAACACAGGGGAGATTAATGGTGAAGAGAAATAGATGATAAGGACAGGGGTGATGTCCTTGACAAGGTGATACGGAATCATTTCCAAGGTACTCGGGAGGAGCTGACCTTTGATAGTATCAGCCACCCTCTTCCACTGAAGTAAGTATAGCATCATTCAAGGAGGATCTAAACAATTTTTACCCAGCAGCTTTCAACAATAAAGAACACTTCAAAAGCCTTTGTAATAGATTCCCAGTCCTTTTAACTAAGACACAATATGCAGCCTACATATTAAAGTTACCGGCCTTCCTTTAAGTATACAAGAACCAACCCATGAAACTTAAATACAGTGATTCTCTGCCTTCCAAAAGGTGTTTGAGATCAAAGAGGCAAGTCTTACCAACAGGAATAGAACCAGGTCCTCAGCCAACGGTCAAAATGAAACAAAACAAAACAAGCAGATGAAAACCCTGGTAACTCAAATTCAGGAAGTTCCTTACCTTGAGCTGCTGTTGGAGTTCACTGTTCAAGCGGGCCAGCACTGCATTTGCCTCTTTATTTTTGCGGATAGCAGTTTGAATAGCCTTCTTCTGTTTGGAAGACTGTCTACAAAAAAGTAGAAACAGTTTAGTGAAATAGAACTTAGAGGTCTGGACCCTTGTGGGTCAGAACTCTGACTCATGAGAAGTGCTAAACTAACAAGGGGCTAACGTCACAGGGCTCCAAAAATAAATTCACATATTCACAGAGAGGCAGGCACACACCAAATGAAACAAATTTGTCAGGATGAATTATTTACACCTGAAGTAATTCCCATTTTATAATTTGAACAAAAGCTGTAAATTGAGCCTTTTCAAATACTTTGCATCCCATTTACTCCAAGACATTTTAATAAGTATTTCTTCCTGACAAACCATATTAACTGGAATGCCCTTTTTGTGTAAGCATTGATGGCATTTAAAAGACCTGCAGGTTGACAAGTCTGAAGGAAAAGAAGAACATTCTCTACAGCAAAAATCCTACATTAACTTAGCCAACCTACATAACTCTCCTTTATTTATTATTAGGCAAGAATGCCTGAGTGTGTATGTGTGTGAGTGTGCACATGCACGTGCATAAACCAGCATACATCTGTGGCACTTGAGAAAAATGCAGAAACGTTTTAAAACCAGTATTCCCAAATTAAGTCAATAGCAAATTCACAGAACAGGTATAACTAGGGTGACCATATGTCCCACTTTGTCCCTTACAGTCTCTGTTTATACTTCTTGTTCAGTCATAATTATTCTTAGTGCTCTCTTAGCCCTCAAAACTGTCCACGGTTGGAATGATAAATCAACATTGTTGTATCACCTACAACCTTGCATCCCACAGCAAGAAACACTGAATTCTCAAAGCAAAAGGGTAATTTAAGTTCCCCTAGAAAAACAAACATCTTTGTAGTCACTAGGAGACGGGTTCTAGGCCAGAGCAACTGAACTGCAATGCATTGTGACTACCTTAGAGATCTGATTAATACTCACTGAGAATATACACTACGCTGGCCACTCCACTAATCTGTACAAGACATACTTTCTTCCCCAACAAGCGTAGAGCTAAAGATTAATTTTTTCATCCATAAATAGACAGGGAAGCAGATCCAAAATCTACTTTTTAAAAAGATATAGATTGGATGGGGCCGGCCCCGTGGCCGAGTGGTTAAGTTCGTGCGCTCCTCTGCAGGCGGCCCAGTGTTTCGTTGCTTCGAATCCTGGGTGCGGACATGGCACTGCTCATCAAACCACGCTGAGGCAGCGTCCCACATGCCACAGCTAAAGGGACCCACAACAAAGAATATACAACTATGTACTGGGGGGCTTTGGGGAGAAAAAGGAAAAAAATAAAATCTTAAAAAAAAAAGACATAGATTGGATTTCTGGTTTCAAGACAAGATAGAATAAACACACTTCTCTCAATTCTTCCCACTAAGTACACTTAAAACCCTGGACATATTATATAAAACAAACATAAGATGACTCCAAAAAGTGGAGTGAAGAGGGCAAACCAGCTAGGGAATTCAATACCCAGAGAATCACATAGCAGTGAATTCCCGGGGTTTTCCTTTTTGCTCCATATATCCCAGACTGGATAGTGGAGAAGTTGGCAATGCATAAATGTCAATGAAGGCAGACAAAAAAAGCCTCTCCAACATCCTGCACTCTCTAGCCAAAGGACTTGAAAAGGGGCAGCCTAGCAAGACAGAAATTAGACACAATATCCCTCCTGAATATAGGTGAAAAATCTTTAACAAAATACTAGCAAACAGAATTCAGCAATATATAAAAAGAATTATACACCATGACTAAGAGGAGTTTATTCCAGGGATGCAAGACTAATTCAATATTCAAAAAACAATCAATGTTATCCCCCACCCTAACAGATGGAAGAAGAAAAATATCACATGACGATATCATTTAATGTAGAAAAAGCACCTGATAAAACTCAACACCTACTCATGATAAAAACTCAGAAAACTATGAATAGAGGAGAACATTCTCAACTTGATAAAGAACCTCTATAAAGAAACTATGGCTAACTTCAAACTTAATGAAAAACTGAATGCTTTCCCCCTAAGATTAGGAACAAGGTAAGCATTTCTGTTCTCATCATTATTTTCAACACAGTGCTGGAAGTCCTAGCCAGCAAAATACAAGAAAAGGAAATAAAAGGCACACATACTGAAAAGAAAGGAATGAAACTGTCCCTATTTGCAGATGATATAATGGTTTATGTAGAAAATCCCAAGGAATATATAAAAAACTCCTAGAACTAATAAGTGATTTCAGCAAGGATAGAAGTGAGTTTGCAGGATAGAAGATCAGCATACCAAAATCAATAGTATTTTGATATACTAACAATGAATACTTGGAAGTCAAAATTAAAAATATGGTATTATTTACAAAGACTCAAACTGAAATCCTTAGATACAAAATTTGTACAGAATTTACATGCTGAAAACTATACAACACTGATGAAAGAAAGAAAAAGAGGATCCAGATAAATGGAGAAATATATCACATTCAAGGACTGGAAGACTCAACATAGTAAAGATGTTAACTCTCTCCAGATCGATATAAAGGTTTAACAAAATTCCTATCAAAATCCCAGCAAGATCTTTTGTAGTTCAAGACAAAATTATTCTAAAATTTATATGGAAAGTCAAAGGAATTAGAATAGCTAAAACAATTTAAAAAAATAATAATAAAGTGGGAGAAATAGGAGACTTGTTATATAGCTATAGCATCAAGTAATCAAATAACCAAGACAGTAACCTAGACTGTGCGGTACTGGCAGAAAGAAAGACACATGGATCAATGGAACAGAACAGAGAACCCAGAAAAAGACTCACACTAGTATGGCCAACTTATTTTTGACAGAGGTACAAAAGCAAGTCAATGGAAAAAGAATAGCCTTTTCAACAAACACTGCTGAAGTGTCAAGTGTAAAATTATAAAACTTTTAGAGGAAAACACAAGAGGAAATCCTCAGGACCTAGGGCTTGGTGAAGAGATTTTAGACATGACAACAAAAGCATGATCCTTAAAAGAAAAAGAAATCAATAAGTTGGACCTCATCAAAATTTTAAAAACGTTTGCTCTGGGAAAGACTCACATTAAAAGGATGAAAAGACAAGCTACAGACTGGGAGAAAATATTTGCAAACCACAGATTTGACAAGTGGTTTGTATTTAGAATATATAAAGAACTCTCAAAATTCAACAGTGAAAAAACAATCAGAAAATGGGCAAAGGACATGAGAGACATGTCACCGAAGAGGATATATGATGGCAAATACACACATGAAATGATGTTCAACATCACTAGCCACTAGAGAAATGCAAATTAAGACCACAATGGGATAGAATTACACATCTGTTAGAACAGCTAAAATTTTTTTTTAAAAAGTGACAATACCAAATGCTGGTAAGGATGTGGAGAAACTGAATCTCTTGTATATTGCTGCTGGAAATGTAAAAATGGTACAGCCATTTTAGAAAACAACTTGGCAGTGTCTTTAAAAACTAAACATACACGGTATACAACCCAACAATCACACTCCTGAACATTTATCCCAGAGAAATCAAAACTTATACACACACAAGAACCTATACACAGATGCTCACAGCAGCTTTATCCATAATACTCAACAACTACACACAACCAAAATGTCTCTCAACAGGTGAATGGCTAAACAAACTGTGGTACAGACCGCTGCTTAGCACTATTGAGATATGTAACAACTTGGATGGATGGCAAGGACATTTATGCTGAGTGAAAAAAAACAAACTCAAAAGGCGTGTAATGCTACTTATATAACATTCTCAAAATGACAAAATTACAGAGATGGAAAACAGATCAATGGTTGCCAGGGGTAAGGAATGTTGAGGAGGAGGGGGTAGGTGTGACCTCTGTATCTTGATCACAGTGGTGGTTACAAGACTCCACACATGTGATAAAATGGCATGGAATTATACATATACACTGTCCCAACATCAACTTCCCAGTTTTGATATTGTACTATAGTTAGGTAAAATGTAATTAAAGGGAGAAACTAGGCAAAAGATACACAGGACTTCTTTGTACTATTTTTATAATTTCCTATGGATCTATACTTATTTAAAAATAAAAAGTTTAAAAGAAAAAAGATGTCAATCAGAATTGGATGCCCCTCCTTCAACTACTACCATGCTATGTGTGCCCAGCTTGTAACAGTTTCCTCCTTCATTGGGAACTGTGTCCATCCCTTTTCCCCTTCTCCACAGGGATGGGTCCCTGGCAAGCAGTTTGTCTTAAGAAACTCTCGCCTCTATTTTCACACTTGAATGGACGCTGGCCCATGCTGACCTGACTAGATTTTCTCTCCCAGGCATGTGGGTTATGGCTAAGAGTTCAGTTTAGCCTGGGCCCTGGAAAGTGAGAATATAATCCCTAGAGCTGAAGGTGGTTGAGAATCTTCATAGATAAAAATGACAAAGAGTGACATCAGCATCATGGCAGAGTGAACTTGCTTGGGCTCTCCCCTCCAACATACAAGAAAAAGGGGCATCAATATTCCACATAGGACATCTTAACAATACAAAAACGTCAGAGAGACATGCAGCCACATGATGGAGGGTGGAGAGGCTGAAGCCCCTCTCAGAGGAGCTGGAATGGGGTAAGAGAGAACTTTGCTCCCTCCCCTAAAGACTGCCATCGCCATAGCAGGAGCTTCCATGAAGGAAGGAAGGGGGAGAGATCGCTTGTTTGCGGGATCACCAAGGACTCCCTAGGGCCCTTGCAGCCTAGAGGGAAGCCCTCTAACGGGGTGAAAGTTTTCGGGTGGGATGACCTCATCAAGCCAAGACCCCAGGAGACCAGATAGCGAGAGCTGATCGAGAAAGCCCAGAGTGCACACAGGAGAAAGTGCCCCTCCCCCTACCCACCTTGTGCTGCTCCACTGCCTGGGATATCAGCTCAAGGAGGAGGGCTCAGAATACGCAGCCCTCGACCTCCACCCAGTGGCAATAGGCTGTAACTGCAACCGAATAATATCAGAATGTGTAAGACCTGACCTAGCAACATCAGACA